TGTTTTTTATTAGATCATCTCATCCCTTGCTCAGAATCTTCAGTGGCCACTGTTGCTTATAGAATAAAGTTGGGATGCTATACCTTGGTATATAGAGCCCTTCCCGGTGGAACTTCTCTTTTTCACCCTTATCTCTCGTTATTTCTCAATGTTAATTCGCTTATTGACCTACTAAGCTGGCATATTCTATGTGTTAAGACATCACCAACTTTGTGTCTTCTTTTTTGTTTTGAGATGGAGTCTTGCTCAACTCTTGCCCAGGCTGGAGTGCCTGTGCCACCTTCTTTTACTCCTGGATTTACTCCCAATTTAAAGAATCTACTAACTAGAATTTTAGATGCTTTTACAAAACCAAGCCCACATCTGTCCTTTTTAGAGTCTTCTCTGACTTTCCCTGCTCATTGTGGTTTGTTTTTATTGCTTATAACAATGGCTGTTACACTTTACATTTTTAATTAACTTATATTTTTATGTTTGTATATATTTATCTATTTGTTGAGACAGGGTCTCTCTCTGTCACCCAGACTATAGTGCAGTAGTGCCATCATGGCTTACTGCTTCCTGGGCTCAAGCTATTCTCCCACTTCAGCCTTCCAAGTAGCTAGGACAACATGTACCACCATACCTGGCTAATTTTTTTTTTTAAGTTTATTTTTTGTAGAGGCATGTCTCACTATGTTGCACAGGCTGGTCTCAAACTCTTGGGCTCAAGTGATCCTCCCATATCAGCCTCCTTGTGTGCTGGGATTACAGGTGGGCCACCACGTCCAGACTTTAACATTTTATTTTTTAGCACAGAATAGGTCAGTTTTTTACCCTCTGCTGAAGTTCCATGCTGACTCTTAGTTAAAACAAGCCTTTGGTTGAGAGAAGAGCTAGTGATGTCCTAGCACCCGACCTAGCTTTCCCTTGCCTTCTGGGATGTCCTGAAGACATCATAGGGTTTCATGAAGTACAGTTGGGGAACCAGTGATGTCTGTCATGTACCAAACACGCATCTTTACAAAGCAGTGTGTAGTATCTTTTTTTGTCAACATATTTTCCTTCTCCTAATGCACTAAACTTCTCTGGAGTTTAGAAAACAAATTTATAGAATTGAGGAAATGCACCCTCCTGACCATGGTATCTAGTATATATATAGTGACTTACAGATAATAGATGTTCACATATGTTTATTTCTTTGATTGCTTTTTGAAAAGTTTTTTAAATTTTTAAGAAATTTTTTATGGGGGTCTTACCCTATCGCTGAGGTTGGAGTGCATCCATGGATTTTGGTTTCCTCAGTGGGTATTAGAACCAATTCCCCATAGATACTGAAGGACAACTGTAGTACATGTTGGAATAATTTATTTTCAAGTGGATCATTGGGAGAACACTGTTATTTTGGAAACATAGCCTCCTAAGTTCTGTTCCATCAGTCCCTTTCACCTCCACTGCATTATAGCAGCCTGTTTTCATGACTGTCATCACTTGGAACTGCTTCTCCTCCAGAATGCTTTCTAAGATCTACTGTTACACAGCTATCTTAACCTTTACTCTTTTATTCTCTTCTTGTCCCTCACAGCACTCTCTGCTTCTCTAGCTCTTAAACTCTGTCTACTCCTGTCCAGTCTGCTGAGTGTGACAGGAATAAGACCCACTGGGGGGCTGGTTAGGAATGTAGGGTTTCTAACTCTTCCTGGACCCTCAAGAGAACTCAGCAGACCATTGTTTTGTCTTTCCTTAAACCTATTGGGCCGGGCGTAGTGGCTCATGCCTGTAATCCCAGCACTTTCAGAGGCCGAGGCGGGTGGATCATAAGGTTAGGAATTCGAGATCAGCTTGACCAGCATGGTAAAACTCCATCTTTACTAAAAATGCAAATATTAGCTGGGCTTGGTGGTGTGTACCTGTAATCTGTGCTACTCAGGTGGCTGAGACAGGAGAATCACTTGAACCCGGGAGGTGGGGATTGTGCCACTGCACTCTAGCCTGAGTGACAAAGTCAGTCTCCATCTCAAAATATATATACATTTCTAAAACCTTAATGACCACTCCTTCCAGTCCCTCACCAATTTTGCTTTATTCATGGCAGAGGCTCGCTCTTCCTGCTTGTCAGTACAAAGAAGCACGTTCTTAATCTGGATCTTGGATTCTCAAAGAATTTGTGTAGAGAATTCAGGGCATTGATGACCTTGTATAAAGAGAAGTTTACATCTTTGTTTACACTAACTTTTGAGAATTTAGCATTTTTTTTTCCCTTAGAAATATAGGCCACAAGTGACTAGTGTTAGTTTTGAGACGGGATCTTGCTTTGTTTCCCAGGCAGGAGTGTAGTGGTACAGTCTTGGCTTATTGCAACCTCCACCTCCCAGGTTCAAGCAATTCTCCTGCCTCAGTCTCCCGAGTAGTTGGGATTACAGACATGTGCCGCCACGCCCAGCTAATTTTTGTATTTTTAGTAGTGAGACAGGGTTTCACCATGTTGGCCAGGCTGTTCACCAACTCCTGACCTCAAGTGATCCATGCTCTTTGGCCTCCAAAGTGCTGGAATTACAGGCGTGAGCCACCACTCCAGGCCTCAAGTTACTATTTTCAGGAACAGAATCTTGCTATGTTATCCACTCTGGCCTTGAATTCCTGGGCTCAGGCAGTCCTCCCACCTCAGCCTTCTAAGTAGCTGGAATTATAGGTATGTGCTACTGTATGCTGCTTCAGATTATTATTTATGCTCATGACTTGTTTAAATTTATAGTAGTTATTAAACACCTGTTATTAGATCTTAATATTTAATGCTTTAATTAAAAAGCATATATTACTATGCCAACAGATTTTTTTAGTTTTTGATAATTGCATTTCAGTGTAATTTTTCTCTTTTGATTTCCTATGTATTTTATGAATTTAAATACATTCTGAATATGATCCCATAGTCTTCCCTAAAATGTTGAAGGGGCCCATGGATTAAGAAAAAGACTAAGAACCTAATCTAGAGGCTTCCTGTGCCCCATCTTCCACAGTCCCTTTTGTCATTATACTCCTAACCCACTCCAACCTGAGGAGTGTGACTCCACTTGAGCCCTTGGTTTTGTTGTTCCTATCCATACATTCTATACCCTTACTGTGTTTCTTATCCCCAACTTGTTTATTTATGTTATTCTTCAATTTTAAAGTTTTTTTTTTTTTTTTTTTTTTTGAGACAGAGTCTCTCTCTGCCACCAGGTGCCAGGCTGGAGTGCAGTGGCGTGATCTTGGCTCACTGCAACGTCCGCCTCCCGGGTTCAAGCAATTCTGTCTCAGCCTCCTGAGTAGCCGAGACTACAAGCACTCGCCACCACGCCCAGCTAATTTTTGTATTTTTTAGTAGAGATGGGGTTTCACCATGTTGGCCAGGTTGGTCTCGATCTCTTGACCTTGTGATCCGCCCACCTCAGCCTCCCAAAGTGCTGGGATTACAGGCTTGAGCCACCGCGCCCGGCTTCTTGAGTATTATAGTCTTTAAGACATGGTGTAATATGTACTTGTAGTGTACCATTCAGTTGGAATGGGTAAGTAGGCAATGAAAAGATAATCTCCCCTCTAACCCCATCCCACTTTGCTGGGGAAGCCTGTGGTCTTGTGTACAATTCAGAAAATGTTGATACACATTTTTAGTGCCACTCCAGTCTATGTTGGAACCATTTTACTTCCCCCTCCTTATTTTCTTCTTGTGTTCTTGAAGACCTAGATCAGCTGCCGCTGATAGACTGCCGTTGTCACTTTAGAAAGCCAGTGTCTTTTGTTCCTTAGAACTTTGTTTTTTTGCCGGGCGCAGTGGCTCAAGCCTGTAATCCCAGCACTTTGGGAGGCCGAGGCGGGTGGATCACGAGGTCAAGAGATTGAGACCATCCTGGTCAACAAGGTGAAACCTTGTCTCTACTAAAAATACAAAAATTAGCTGGGCATGGTGGTGTGTGCCTGTAGTCCCAGCTACTCGGGAGGCTGAGGCTGGAGAATTGCTTGAACCCAGGAGGCGGAGGTTGCGGTGAGCCGAGATCGCGCCATTGCACTCCAGTCTGGGCAACAACAGCAAAACTCCGTCTCAAAAAAAAAAAAAGAACTTTGTTTTTAATTGTATTGTAGCACTCATTGCATTAGATTCTAAAAGATTTGCTTCGTTTCTGTAACTAGTCTGTCACACCCAGGAGCTCCTACAGCAAAAGCTGGGGATGGTATCCTAGTCAAATGTGAATCCCTGCCGCATCCAGACTTATGAGTGCACTGTAGGTACTCACTAAGTGCTAAAAATGACTGAATACTTCCATAGTTGCCAGATTGCCACCCACTGATACCAATCTATATACTGATACTTTATAGTGTATAGATTGGTCCACATATAATATGACACATAATGAGAAACTGTCGTAAAAAGCTGAAAATGCCACAGGAATAGTAATTGATCAAAACAATATGATTTTTTAGATTTATCTGGAATTTCAGTGTTTGAAAAAATCCTGATTTAATTGAGATGAAATGGATAGCTGAGGATTTTGATAACTTTTCGGGAAGCGCATTTGAGGGTTTCTGGTGTTAAATCTGATGTTAATGATTATTTCATCCATTTTTATGTCATTTTATAGTTTTCATACATTTAAGTTTATATTCTAATGTTTAACACTAGCATTTTAGTTATTTGACCATTCTGGGCCTTTAAAAAACTCTCAGACAAGTTTGAATGATTTCTCAGAGGTAAAAGAGGAAAGATTACATATCTTGTTTCCTGGCCCAGAAGAGGTTTGTGCATTGGTTTAGACATTTCTTTATGACCACCACCAGGTGGCACCACCAACACATAATGACCAGGTTTCTGCCCAGAATCCGACGGTGTTGAGAGGTGACTGCTGTGGGATTCGCATGGAGGTGGGATACAGGGAGTAACCCACGTTGCCTGCTAGTCTAGAGGCTTTTATAAATTGAAAAACAAATTATTTGTCATTTCATCTGGTGATTTTTATGTTTTACCTTTTTTCTTTCTATGCCTGTAGTTCCTTCAGAAACAGGTAACACTTTTCTAATAGTCACTTTGCATTCTTGCATCTTGCTCTTACAATGCTTTTGTTTCTCACCATAGAGAATACTGGAAAATTAATATACTTTGACTTATGGCATTGGTAAAAGCTGCATGCAAATTCCCACAGTTGCCTGTAGATTAGAGCCAGTGGGTTTTTTTTCTGAACTTAGCAGGAATCCTGGTTACAACACTATTTGATACCAACAATAGTATTTTTAAAATCCAGACTTGCTGGGCATGGTGGCTTATGCCTGTAATCTGAGTGAATTGGGAGGCTGAGGTGAGAGGATTGCTTAAGCCCAGGAATTTAGGGCCGCAGTGATTGTGGCACTGGACTCCAGCATGAGTGACAGAGTAAGACCCTGTCTCTTAAAAAAAAAAGAAGTTATTCTAAAGAAATAGAAACAAAAATCCAAACTTTTAACCATTGTAAAACAAATCAGAATTTATGATAGTGGACATTGGTAATAGTGCAGAATGGATACCCAGATCTTGCTTCTTCCAGCTAATGATGCAGCGTTGGCCTAACATGTATTACTTGTAGCCAGGGTTTTTCTCAGCATCCTGATGTGATAGCCTCATTTTGGGCTAACTCTCCACTTCTGCACATCTTTCCCTAAGCCCTTTACTCATCTTTAGAAAGAATTACTTTTGGGGAAATTTTTAAATCAAGGAATATCATTCTTTATAGAATCACACTTCTGTGTATTCCCCTTCTCCATTTCTGCCTTGAAGACCAGACTGCTAAGTAACCTGTGAATAATTTTTTTAAAGTTTGGTATTGTAAACAGAAGATTTAAGATTAAAATGTAGCATCGAAAAAAATAGGTTTCTTAATAATTTCCTGTTAATACAACCTAAATTCTGGTCAGTGGAATAAAGCCTGGGTCACTAAAGTTATAGACGCTTGCTTGCTTTTCTCCACTGCCTCTTACTTGGGGATCGTTTTAGAAGTTTGTTTAGAATAGTACCATAAAGACATATTTTAAGCTACTTTGTGTGTACATTTGGGATCTTTTGATTTGAAGTCAGCTTGACTCAGTCAAGCTTTTCTAAATATTTTTACACAAACACACAGACACATACATATACTCTGGAGTGAGAAAAAAAATCCATTTATATCATTCTATAAAAACTCTAGCTGCTTAGAGCTTTAATTTCTTGAACCAAAAGTATTATCTTTAATGCTGAACTTCTATCTAAATAAATGCTTTATTCACTTAAATGTGTGCTTTTCAAAAACTAGTATGATTAAAACATTAATAGAGTCTTACATGTAAAATAACAGTTCTGTTGCTTCTTGTAGAAGATAATATGACTGGTTTGGAATTTTCCTGTAGTGTAGTTTTTTTGGTCTAGTTTTGTGAGAATTAAAGGGATTTCAGGGTCCTAGTGTAGGTTATTTGATGTTTTCTTGGAACATTATACATTCTTGAAAATACATAATTTTTTCTGGTGCCATCAATAGCTTTCAGCAAAGATGAGGTGTTGGTAAGACAGCATTAGTTTCTTAGAATCTCTTAGATTTTCCAAAATTGAGCCATTTCTAGTTAATACTCCATTCCATCTTCAGCTGAGTCCTGCTACTCTGGGGAACTCCCCTGGCAAACTCTTGGCTCTTAGAATTGCTAGCAAATGGGAGTAGTGCTGCTGGTGGAGCTGGCAGCTAAGCCCAGAGGTGCACTGATGCTTTTATTCCCTGATGTGCATGTACACACAGCCATGCCCACCCACACCTACTTTGGGATAAGAAGGCGTTAGAATTTTAGCTAGGCTTGAAGTTCCATGCTCAAATTTGCTGGCTCAAATGTCTTATTTTGGTATCACTTTGCCCACTGGGGAGACAATGACAGTTACAGAAGCATTGGCAAATAGAAAAATCCCTCTGAAATAACCTCTTTTACAGGAGCATTGTGTGTTTAGCAGTTGATTCGTCCTTTCCTCCTCTTAGTGGCAACTTGCAGTAAGGGGAGGAAACAGTGGCTGGCAGCTTATATTCCTCAGCGGAGCCATATCAGCAGAAGTATTACTCCTTAGCTAGTAGTAGGTGCTACTCTATGGATCCAACCTTTTAAGTGCAAGCCTGTATCTACAAAGCATTTCCTAATGCCATTGTTGCCCAGTGGGCCTTTATTTAGCTGAGTCTAACTCCCAACTAGTAAAAATTTCCTTTGCCAGACAGCAGTATGGTCAGCTAAATATGTGGATGCCACATTTGCTCTCATAAGTCAGTACTCTTCAATAACATTAGTAGAAGAGAAGAGGACACAAAGTGAGAATACGTTAATAGGGCTTTCTGAGGACAGGTAATACTGTAGGGCCTGAACTTTGTAGCAGAGCGGTTATATATGAAGAAGTGGATTCTGGGAGGGGATAAACCACTTAGAATGGCTTCACAGAGTTTGCTGGAATATTGAACACTGCATATAGACATGAATATGGAAAGTTAAAAACAAAATCCACGGCCGGGCGCGGTGGCTCAAGCCTGTAATCCCAGCACTGTGGGAGGCCGAGGCGGGTGGATCACGAGGTCAAGAGATCGAGACCATCCTGGTCAACATGGTGAAACCCCGTCTC